TAGTGTATGTTCTCCCCTAAGTGCATAAAGCACTTCTGACTGTTTACCCTTAAAGCTCCAGAGAGTTGGGAAAACCTCTAGACTGCTTCTGTTTATTGTACACACATGCACTGTTAAGGGTTTATTTTCAATGAGAGGGAGACAAGCACAGAGATAAAGACTGATGGTGCATATCACTCTACCAGCACATCTTGCTGAACAGCACAGCATATAACCTATTTTACATATATATATTTATATATTTACCTTTAAATTGATTCTATTTTCTCTATATGTACTAATTTGGCCCTTGGTGGTGATAGTTCACTTCGTGTTTGTAATTTCTGCTACCAGTACAAAAATTCCTGTTTGGCTTTCTTCGCTGTGTGGTAGCTGTAGCAGTCAAAATTACAGGCTAATGGTGAGACGAGCAGCTTATAATGTATGATAATCAATACTCAAAATCCATTCCCTATGATGTGACATTAAAGAATGAAATGCAAAGCCAGAGATTTTGAGGGCTAGAGAAACAAAGCTCATGCAAAGCAGGTGGGTTTCCAGTCAAGGTCATTCAGTGTATTTTTTGCTGGTTTTTTGGATTAATATTTAATTCAGTCACTGCTACCATGTCCAGGGTGCAGAAATGGAAAGTTATTCAATACAATGAGTAGAAATGCAAGTATAAAAATTGCTTTAAAAAATACAGGAAATGGGAAGGGGAAAGAAAATAGAGCATGCAATATATACATAACATATATATGCTATATGATATATATCTTTTTTTATTAGAGATTGCCAACAAACTTTGTATTTTTGTTGGCAGTAATGAATAATTTAAACACTGTGATGGACCCCTCCTCATACCAGTGTATGTGTATGCATGTGTGTGAGAGCTAAAAATATAAATCTTCAAACATAACTTGGTTGTAATAAATTAACCTAATGAGTGTTGAAAATCTCAAAGCATAGCTTTTGGCAAGAACAGAATACCTACTGAATAAGTTTGCAGTACTTATTTCCAGTGATGAGTACTTCTCTGAACTTTACCTTTCATCTGAGCTTGTTTGTTTCAATCTTAGTTCAGGGAATATTTATTTTTTTAAAGAAATACAGTTCAGTTGAGTTTTAGAAAGAGTCAGTGTGAAAATAGAATTTCCTAGTCCTATATTTCATATAGATATATATGTGTGTTGTCAATGTACAGAGCAGAGGAGTGCATATATATATATATGAATATTTATTTAATTTATTTTAAGATAATAGGACATAGAACTACTACTTGAAAGACAGAAAGAATTTTCCTGCTACAGATGGCTTTTTTGTGGTATAATGAAATAGTCTGTAATGTTTGGGTTATTTTTTGTGAGAAAGGAAAGAGCAAAGAGGGATCTTGCTTTGCTTTGATAGAGTAATTGAAAAGAGAGGAGCAGAGAAAAGTACTGCTCCATTGATTGTGCAATTCTGAGCATTTTATGGTAGCTAATGTGCAGCAGGGTTTTATTTTTGTCTTTTGTTATAAAGCAACAAAATTGTTTACAAATATCCATACTAAGGATAGTTAAGCTTACAACATAAAAGTTAGTTGGGAAGCTGATTAGTTGTTTAGGTAAACTTTTAACAGTGCCAGAAAGCCTTGCCTCAGAATTGTCATGAATTCTATATGAGAGAAAAAATAACTTCAGACACTGTTAGGGAAAATCCTGAAGAAAGCACCTATTTCTCCTATTTCTGTAAGTCCACTTTAAAAGTTAGAGGCTGAACTTGCCACAAGTCTACTCTGAAGGATCAGGAAGATGAAGGTGTTTTTAAAAATACATTGATTTGGTTTGTTTTGCGGAGTTTGATGTTGAGTGATTTTTTTTTTTTTTTTTTTTTTTTTTTTTTTTGGAGCAGGAGGAGGTAGTTTGGTTGTTTGGGGATTTTTTTTTTAGAGAGATAGAGAGTGAGAGTAGCAGTTTCCCTTGGCTGTTTTAAAGCAGCAGCTGTTTGATGCTGTAGAAACTCCAGAAAACTAGATAAAGAGAACTTTAGTGGAGGTGAACTAATGGGTGGAATGAGGTGTATAGCTATGTCCTTCATTTGTATGGCTCCCATTTCATTAAGCAATTGCCACACATATGTTGTCCCTGTGGTTATGCATACCAATGCCATCTCATTCAAGTGAAGTAAAATCAAACGCAACAAACTTAAATTTCTTCCTCAAAATCTTTTCAGTTCTGCCACTTTGTTACAGTCCTAAGGTTGGGGTTATTTTATTCCTGCTTTTCATCATAATTTTAGTTTTTATTGGATACTAAAATCAGCATGTGGATTAGTTTTCTTTGGAGATCATAGAATCATTGAATGGTTTGTGTCAGAACGAACCTTGAAATATATGCCATGGGCAGGAATGTCCCTCACTGGATCAGGTTGCTCAAGGTCCTGTCCAACCTGACTTTGAAATCTCCAAGTGATGGGACATCAATTTCTCTAGGACATCTGTTCCATTGTCTCCCTACTCTCACATCAAAGAGCTTCCACCTCATGTACAAACTAAAAGAAAGCAGATTAATTTTTTCTTTTAGTTTATGCAGCCCAGGACACAATTGGAAGCCTGTGCTCACAGCAGTCTGGGCTGTCCAACTTTTCATCTACCAGTAGCCCCAATCCTTCTCAACTGGTCTGCTCTCAATCTGTTCATCCCCCATTCTGTATTGATACTGACTTCTCCAACTCAGGTGCAGGACCTTGCACTTGGCCTTGTTGAACTTCATGATGTTCACGTGTCCCCACCTATCAAGCCTGTCAGTCCCTCTGATAGAATTTTTTCCCTCCAGGAAAGCAGATGCACCACTCAGCTTGTTGTGATTCTAGGGTGCACTCAGTTCCATTGTCCATCTCATTAATGCAGATAATAAATAATGTTGGCCTGAGTGTGGACCCTGGAGGGACACCTCTCATTATGGTTTCCACTTGGACTTTGAGGCATTGACTGCAGCTGTTTGCATGTGACCATCCAGCCACTACCTTATTGATCTGACAATCCATGATCAAATCCATCAATCTCCAATTTAGCACCAAGAATATTGTGGCCATATCAATATTTGACCATATCAAAGGCCTTACAAAAGACTTTGCCGTGTCCACTGATGCATTCAATCCATCCTAGAAAGCCACCAGATTTGTCAGACACAATCTGTCCTCAATGAAGCGTTGTTGTCTGTATCTAATCACCTCCCCATCTTCCATATGTTTTGATATATCTTCCAGGATGACATATTCCATGGTTTTTCCAGATACACGGCTGAGGCTGGCTCACCTCTATGAATTTCATGTTCAAGGCCCCTATGTTACATCCTTTTACTCAACAATCACTTTGTTCTGTTGTCCCTGTACCTAATTCTCGCTTGCTTTTGGTATTTTTTCAGGGTTTCCACCAGACTTAGATTTTAAAGCCTTCAAGGAAGGGAGCTCATATACAGAATGACACTTTTTCATACTACTGTACCACTAAAAATATCAGTTCTGAGCAAATTATGGCAGGTTAACATCACTGTGACATAATACAATTTTAGTTTAATTAAAGTCCTATTTATTCATATCTTTTTAGAAATGTGAAAAACGGTTTATACTCTTGGATTCCCTTAGATCATCTTTGGTGTTTCTTTTGTCATGTTTCTGCAGTGCAATCATTCATTAATCAGGTGATGATATAAGATTACTAGGAATTTATTTTCTAATTTAGAAAGATGATGATTGCTTAAATTCTCCCTACCTTTGGCTAAATATGTTTGTTCTGCTTTTCTGAAGACTTGTTCTGCATGTCTGTATGTGTGTTTCATCCTTATATTTAAAGGTATGCTAACAGTTTTTGGTCTAAATGGAATTCCATGCACTTTTTAAATACTAAATTCCTCAAAAAAAAGTATTGAACCCATATGCCTATTTTATGAAAGAAAAATTATTAAGATCAATGTATAGTTAACTGAAACCTAGAGATAATAAAAGGATTTATACTATTTATTATTTTTCTTATTCCTGATAGTTGTTTAGAGTTGTGAGTACAATTATAAGACAGTAAATATTGTCCCTAATGTAACATATTTAATGCAAATGACACTCAAGCCAAGGTTTTTAAAACAGAAAGTTTTCTTTGAATTGTAGAATAAGAAATGCCAAAACTTCTGTTCTGAGAAGAGCGTAGCAAGGGAATCTCATTTAACTATATTCTTTGAAAGAAATAGGAATATAGAAATCCTATCTGAAGACATCATCAGTTCAAATAGTGTGTCACCATTTGTCATTCTTCCAAATTGTATGTATTGAGCAAATCCATTTTCACTTAGTTGCACCAAAACAAAAAAGGAGAAAACTGATTATATGATCCATACTCATGTCTAATAAAATTGCAATATGCGCTTTTTGACAAGCTTATATTTAATGCATACTGATGGAAGATTCTAGTTCTCTGTTCTCAGCAGGAAAAGTAGGCTTTTCAAGAAAACCTTTTTTATTTTGTGACTGTCACACAACATAACAATTACAAATGAAATGGAGGTGACAAAAGGGAAAAAACAGCTTGCTGATTTTTATGAAGTGTTTGTATTTCCAGAAAGGCAGTCATTGCTCAGTCATTTGATTTGAAAAATTAATCCTTATAATTCCTTTTGAGTTCCCTAAGTACTGTTCACTCTTTTCTAGCATGAGTTTTACAGAATAAAGCCTAAAAGATTCCTACAGCAGATTAGTTTACAGATGAAGCTCAACTCCATTGAGAATGAGTCTCTAATGACCCCTTTATACTTCCATTGGGCTGTGTGAATGCTTTAATATGTGGAGAACAGAGTTAAATAAATCTATTGTCTCAACTAACAGGTTTATGCAAACCTTCTGAAATATTTTAATTACAGCTTCTTCTTTTTCTCCATAATTAAGAAACCAGATGTCAAGTAAGCCCATCACGTGATGATCATCGCCTATTCATTAGACTAAATAAATCCACTTATAATTAGAGTTTTTTCTCTTTCTGCTTTGTTTTGCAGAACAAGAAGAATGTGTTAACTGCACAGATGAATGCAGAGTGCTTGGTCATTCTGACAGGTGTTGGATGCCACAGTTCCCTGCAGCCAGTCAGGCTGAGAATGCAGATTATCGCACAAATCTCTTTGTACCCACAGTTGAAGCTAACGTTGAGACTGAGACATATGAAACTGTGAATCCCACTGGGAAAAAGACTTTTTGTACATTTGGGAAAGACAAGAGAGAGCACACTATTCTCATTGCCAATGTTAAACCTTACTTAAAAGCCAAACGTGCCCTGAGTCCTCTGCTTCAGGAGGTTCCCTCAGCATCGAGCAGCCCAACCAAGACATGCATTGAGCCTTGCACCTCAACAAAAGGACCACTGGATGGTTGTGAAGTGAAATCAGGAGCCTTGGCTGAACCAAGCAGCCAGTACTTGTCAACTGACAGTCAGTATCTATCGCCCAGTAAACAGTCAAAGGACTCTTCCTTCATTGCATCAGATCAGATGGCTAGGGCCTTTGCAGACGTGCACTCCCGAGTGAGCCGAGACTCCAGTGAGATGGACTCTGTTCTGGAGCAGTTAGACCGTTCAGCCCGGGATCTAGGCAGGGAGTCGGTGGATGCCGAGGAAGTTGTGAGAGAAATAGACAAGCTCTTGCAGGACTGTCGGGGAAGTGACCCTGTGGCCATCAGAAAGTGAGGGGGAAAATAAGGACAGGCTGGCAGTTGCATTCCTCTTCTGCTGATTCAAAGTAAATAAATAAATTCCCTGGTTGTAACAGAATTACAGGAATGAAGGAAGACCAATGCTGCTTTAAGGCTTTTAGTGAACATCTGAAGTGCCCACAAGTATGTTCTTTTCACTGCTCTTTCTTTTTGACAGATAACACTGGTTTCATTGTGACCAAACTTTCATTAGGACAGAGTCAAGTACACCAAGAACAAAATGAAAGAAGGAAAGACAGTGCCATTTTGACAATCTGATAGGAAGGTGTGAGAAAGATGGAATGGAAATACGTCTGATACTTTAAGACTGTCCTCAATAGCTGATGCTGACTTTACTGTTTACGTATAAACCCCAAGAAAAACAGGGTTGAATAATGCTGATCTGTGGTGAATTTCCAGCAGCCACCACAGGCTTCTACTGAAAGTCCTATAAAGAGTTCTTGTAGTAGTCCAAGCGACACCAAACATTAACATTCATTTGTGGTAAACATTTATGTATGAAATTATCTGCCACAAATATGAAATACGAAAAAAAAAGAAAAAAAAGAACAATAAAACAAAAAGAACCATTCCAGATCATTATTCAAGAAAACATATCCTCATCATTAATGAAACACTACATATCATATTAAGGTTAAATGTAAAATTATATAGTCCATCTTGTCCTGCACACACATAAGCGAATTCACTTGATAAAATGAAAAAAAAAAAGATTTTAATATCTATTTAGCATTTTAGTGTCCAACAAAGCTATAAATAGTTAGTGATAAGTTAAAAAAAAAAGAAAAGGAAGTGATGTAAAGTTTTGGAAGAAAAGAGTTACCGTAATGGTAATACAGAAAAGAAATTAACATTATTAACACTTTTTTATTCATTTGTGGACACTAAAATAGCTCAGGAAAGTGAAAATGTCAGACATCCACAAAAATCACATGGTCATTTAAATGTGCAAATGTAAGAAGATTCAGTGTGTTTACATCAAATGACATATTTTTATTGATTTATTGCAGATTCAGTGCATATGAGCCAAATTGTTGAGTGTATAAGAGCTATATTGTGTATTTTATTAAATTAATATATAGTTGTGTTGCAAAAATATTTGGGCTTATATTGTAAATGGCAAGTGTTGCCTCAGTAGCTGTCGAACTCTATGAGTTTTGTTTTTTCCTGCTTCCTTTTCCCCATGGAATATGGGAAGCAGCGCCTCAGAGCAAAGTCTCTTGTTTAATGTATGGTCTACGAAGTACTGCAGTACATAATCTGTTCAAAATATGTTTGAGTGAGCTGATGGAGCTAACTGAACAGCCTACAAATACATCCATCAGTCATGGTTATGTGCAAGTCCTTGTAGAAGCTTCTATTGCAAGCCCATGTTTAATAACGAAAATTACACTCAAACCAACATCTGGAACCTCCTTGGGTTTGGTTTTTTTTTTCCCCAACACATGCAGCCAGCCTGTTCAATGTAGGATATTTGATTGAATTCTTCAGAGATGCCACCATTTAAAAAGTTTTGATGTTAAGTTTATAGAGCTGAAAATCATGTCAGAGCCAATGTGGCATGAGCAGTATTTTATCTGATTATTTAGAATGTGCAGTAGCTTACTGCAGTTCTAGATAAATACTGCTTATTCTGGGGGGTGTTTTTAGTCAGGTTTTCATTTGATCTGAATAATATTTGCAGAATAACTTAAAATAACTTGGGATGTAGCTTCTACTTTTTATTATTGTTTCTTAAGAATGTTTTTATTGCATTTGAAAAATTCAAAATTGAATGAAACTTGGAAAAGAACAAATGAACTTAAACAGTACAAGAAGAAACAGAAGAATAAAATGTTTAGCTCAGGATTTGTCCCTTATATACTTTAGATACTCTGCTGGAAATACCACTAGGGCACATTGTTTAAAAACTATTAATTTGGTATCTTAAATTTAATCTGTACTATAAAAACATTTATTAAAAGGGTTGGCAATCTGAAATACCACAAGCCATAGTTTTTTTATCAGTGCAAAAACAAAAGTTTACCCAACAGCCTATTTTGGCCTAAGGATTGCATTTAAATGGTGATTTTAGCTAGTCAGTCCTACAATGAATTGTCTTTGGGAAACACCAATTCTTCCAGTTTAGTTTGCTTTTAGCTCCTGTTAAAAAATGTCTACAAGTACATGCAAAAGGAAGGATCTTGTACATGTCTTATCAAGCTACTCTCCATGTTTTGGACAATTTATGTATCTAAAACGTGGTGTTGTCTGTGTTATATAATTTTGTTTCCTTTTTTTTTTTTTGGCCAGGAGACCCGAGATTGGTTTTGCTTGATAGCTTGATAGCTTGAAATTCCATAGTGGAGAGGATTCTTATTGTTTGATCAGTCTCTTCTACGTATTTCTGTGGTGCCCATCACTTCAGTGTCTGTGCACCAAGTCTTTAGCTCTGCCAGTGAAATCCATTATTCAGCAAAATCTACGCCAGTATGTAAATGCAGTCAAGTGATGGAGATTTGTGTATTTTATAAATGATTTTAACACTGAGTAACCAATTGTACAATTCATTGTATGTTTCTGAAGACATAAAAAACCACAACATTCTGAGAAAGGGCTGTGCCAATGTAAGAGGAATTTACCTTAAGGCTCTCTGTCACTAGTGATTTACTAGCTTTAGCTGTTTAACACATTATCTGTATTTAGTAGTGATTATTTATTTACCACTCTGAGGTATTCAGAATTCATGACTCACAGCTTTATAGAAGAATTTAGGAAATCTTGCTTTTATTTAATTTGTCTTTCAACTGCCTTGTTTTGTAGAACTCTGGCATACTGCTTCCCAGTATAAGATTATCCCAGGTTAAAAAATTTATTTCACAATTTAGAATGGATACATAATGAACCACTAAACCAGCAGAGCTTATACAATGTGAGTTTTGCTGGTTCAGTCAAAATTAACATGATTGTGTGTGAAGGACATACTGCACACAAAAGATTTTAAAGTGTTTTTTGTCTTCGTGATATCTCTACTATCACCATTGGAGAAAGAGGCAGGAATGAAAGATAAAGTTTATGAGTTATTTCTCTCATTTTTTACACACATGCTTTATAAGACTGAAAGGAAATATCTGTCACAAGAGTATAAAAGGAAAGTTGAAGCTAAGAGTGGCAAGTAAAGCAACTAATAAATTTGTACTGTACACTGTGAATAGCGAATAAGGCATTCTGTATCTTTTTTTAATTAAAACAAGCCAGCAACTGGGAGTTCCTTATACGATTGGCCAATCAAATCAGATCTCAAAATCAGACCTTTCTTTTTTCACTTTTTTTCCTTTAATTGGCATATTTATCAGGATTCTCTTGAACCGTGATTTACCACTTAAAGATAGAGGTTTTCCAATCCAAGTTACCCCTAGAAGTCAAACTTTGTTCATAGTGGAGCAAGATACACCATTCAAACAAGCTTTCATGTTGCTTGCTGTCAAATGGAAGGGAAATTGCTGAGGTCAAGGAGGAGTCTGAAGCCTAGCATAACATACACCCACTCATTATTGTTTAATTGCTTTCTTTTGACATCAGGCAGCAGTTATTATTGCATTAATTTAAATGGGAGTTTTGGCTATCAAGATTTGTTGACTTGAAGTGTAATTGAATGAAATCTGATTAAGGTTTTGACTTCTCTGGCCCAATTGTGATACAGGTTGGCATTCTCATTTATCAGCCCCTGTCTCCCCATATGGCTCAAAGTTGCACCAATGACTGGTGAATGACACAAAAAAACCAAACAAAAGCAGCATACATTGTATGGATTTTTCTCAACCGCTATTGTTTAATGGCTGTGTTTAATGTGACCTATCTGGAAAATGAGGACTACGAATAAAAAGCGATTACTAATAGTGGTGTTGCCTGCTTTTGCATTCATTAACACAGAAGAAATGTGTTAAACACTGCATACCACAGGGAGCCTGATGGTAATTACTTTGGAAAAGCAACTTGTGGCAATGCGGCTGTTACAGCTAGTTATCAGTTTGCCAAAAAAATGACAGTTCCTGCTTCATTTATTAGAAATGTGTAACCGTTTTCTCTCAACAGGAAAGTGGAGAAGAGTTTTCATCAAGCTGGGTAGGTTTATCTTTTAAGCAGCTGATGCACTGAATCCCTACAGGCTGTTATTTGCTCATAGAAACATGGAGCTGAATAAAGGATATTTTGGTTTAGTAAACTGGTGTGAGTTCACCAGAAACATTATAAATGGAGTGAGGCTGTAAGTTCTTAAAGATTGTCAGCCTAGCAGGAGAGATCAAAACACTGCTTGATTATAGAAGTGGAGGACAACCTGAAGAATGCAAGGAATTGCTTTTTGCTTTTTAACTTTTTTAATTGTGTCTTTCTTAGGAGTGTGAGTAATTTTATTCATGTTGCTGTAAACAATGACAAATTGCTGGGAAAAGTATTACTCAGTCCTATGTCTGGTATTATGAGTTTGTTGTTATAATTTAACACTTTCATTAACCTCTTTTGTTCGGTTGGGTTTTGATGTATTTGAGGATTATGGTCAATCCCTCAGAATGTGTGGCCCTCTCCATCTGCTCCTGTGTGACTGTAGCAATGACATACCCAATAGTGTAAATCCTGTAAACCAGAATTTTTAGGTTGTTTTTGGTTTTCTTTTTTTCAGTGGGGAGTTTTTTGAGTTTTGTTTGTTTGTTTTGGTGTTTTTAAAAATAATTAAGTATATAGGCATTGCTTTTGACAGCTAAATAGAATTTCAGTTTGTTCAGAACACTACAGGTATTATAAAGGTGTGTGCTATTCCTGCAGACAGAATTACTTTTTAGACATTTCATTTTTTTTACAAGTCTCCTCTCCAGAAACAAAACCAGCCTGCATCTAGTTAGCTGCCCATCTCAGGCACTGAAACCCAACAAGGTTATCTCCCCTTTTTCTGGCTACATATATCTGTCTTTCTACAGGCTAATTTCTAAAATCTAGCAAGTCACTGTCTGTGCAGAGTCCTGACAGAATGTACCTTATGCTGCTAATGACCTCACTGGACAGGGGATGTTACTTTTACTGTCTTCAAGTGTGTGTGATTCAGAGCTTGGCTGGATCCACAGTATATGTAGAACAAGTCATAAACCATCCTGGCTTTTCTTTACCCAGAGCACAGTCATTGATTTCTCATTTGGAAAGTGGCCAGTCCGTCAAACAAAGATTCTTAGATCTCCTTTAAGCCAACCACGTATTACTGCTTCAGGGTGCTCACTCATGGGATAAATACCCTATCCTTATCCTTTATTGAGTCTAAGACATGAAGGCAGCTGAAAGCTTGTTTCTTCAGTTAGTCATGTTTCCCTAAAAATGAAATTTCTCCAGTAGAAAGGACAACTGTCTGCTGTACGCATAGTTTGATTTGTGAAAGGTCACCTTAGTTTCAGTAGTGCATGAAGAAATGGATCAGGGAATTAATGAGCCATCTAAGAATTTTCCAAGATGCATACTCCATGATGCATATGTTATGATTCAGGGAAAATAGCTTAGCATCTTGGTTTATTTATTGTTGATGGTTCCCGATAATGCCTGGCTTATGAAAATATTTAGTTCAAATTTTGGGGAAACATTTTTCTCTGTCTGGGACACAAATTATTTTTAATATTTTTTAAATTTTTTTTTTCCTAAATACAGACTAGTCATATGTTGGGCTCTTTGTTATTTTGTGAAAATGGTGTTCTGACATGGTTTCCCACTTTAGGTTCTTTACATTAGAGATAATACCTTTGATTTGGGCAAGACTCCAAAATGTCTGGAAACATTCTGAAATTTATCTTGGTAAGAGGTAATAGTTTAGGACTAGCTTGAAACACAGATGATTGGACAGCAGATTCAGATGTTGATCTGTGGAGGAAAGGAAAAAGAAAATTCCATTTCATTTTATTTGATACTTTGAATACTAACTCTATGGAAACTTTTTTATAGTGCATCAACTGAACTGCTACCAAAGAACTAGGAGAACAGTTGGCCAGTAATCCTCAGTGTTTTCCAAATTAAAAGCAACACCGAAGTTTTATCTGGAAATCAATTGATTGCTGTAGCAGTATAGAAATGTCAGCAACAAGAAATACTCCTTAACAAATTTGTGATTACATTTTGCAATACCTGTACATTTTCCATCTTTGTGAGGGCAGTCACAGTCACACAGTCTTTTCAATGGTTTGATTTGAGAGCTATAAAAATGGATCACTAGACTGGCATCAGCATTGAAATAAAAACAGCATAGGTGTCTGACCATCAGGAAATGACATCTATTTATGTTATTACTGTCTATAGGATAATGTTCCGTGCATATATTTTTTAAGCATTTTACAACAGGCATCAATTATGATGCTGCATGCAGTAATGATTTCTACAACTGACCCTCTTTGTCACCACTGCTTTCTTTTTATATGTCAATTTGAAATTCTTTACACTGAAAATTTATCTAATGTAGGGAATTTAGAGTAGAATTCTTGTTTTCACACTACTTATCATGTAATAAAAGATATTCATCATAATATTTGTAGATAAGACCTCAATTTGTTTCTTTAAATTCTTTGATTTAAAAATTGATTAAAGTTGCTGAACTATATTAAAACAATGTTTTTATTTTCCGATTAAAATACTTATATTTTTATGAACAAATTCTTCATTCACTATTGTGAGTTCCATGGGGAATCTCATTAGGAGTATTGCAATAAACTAGTCAGCTCTAAATAAGAATATTTTCTTGATAACTAAACATATAGCCTTTTCATCTTCAGTGAAAAATCATTTATTTGGGGATTTTTTATACTGAAATTATGAGAAAAAATATCTGATATGTGTATTCTAGATAACTAATACATTTAACATCCTCTAACTATAATGCAGTTCAAAGTAGTGGTATTTCATTATGAGTATATGCTTAGGGACTTACCTCATCTTAGACCAGATGAGAAATTGTATTTACTCTGATTACACTTTGAGTCTCTATGCTTGAAGATGCATTGGCTATATGAATGATTCTGTATTCCCTTGTGCCTCATTTTAAATTGAGAACAAAAGTAGTATAAGCACTCCTATATAATTTAATAAAGATTTGTAGAATACCGTGTGAATATAGTAAATACAGCAGAGAAGAATGCATGTGAAACTATTTTAGCAGCATTATAGTACTGTTACATTATAAGAGATTTAGAACAGAGATTAGCAACTGTTAATAAGCCTTTATCTTTGACCACAAGATAAGCTTCTTAAAAGCACTGTGGCTCTGCCTCAGTTTAAGGGTTGTAGTGCTAGTGGAGAGTACCACAATAAGGGTTCTGTTCAGACTCTAGGTTTCTTTTGTACTGTCTTCTTCTGGAAGATACTCCAGAGGCTGGTAATTATGCTTCCATAATAATTTTCTGCACCTCCATCAACCAGTGTAAGTGAACCAAGCTCCCTAGTATATACCAGTCCACTGCCACACTGCCACTCAGTGCTCCAATGTTACCTTAGCAGAGTCTGTTTAGGGATCCAATATGGACAGAAGGTCAATTTTTTTACTACATCTTTTTGGATATGCCAAAGTAAGACATAGCAATCCTCCTAAAGGAAAAGAACACCCACTTTTTGAAAAAGAAAAAAAAAAAGCGTGTATAATGACAGCAAGCACAGTCAGTCCTTTAATTTCCAAATGAATCATCTCTTTTAAAAGATTCCTACTTCTGCACTTATTAATAACCTTCTGTGCACTCCTAAATTGTAAAACCATTGCAGCTGCAGTATTAAAGTGTCTGGCAGTAGAAATCAAGATAGAGAAGGAAAAGGAATACTATGCTTAGGCAGACATCCAGTTCCTATTACAACTTATCCCTTTAGCAGAGGAGAAATGTCAGGGGCCCATCATATTATGGCAACAGGAGGAGAAGTACAAACAATTGGAGGACGTCTGATTCAAACACTCTTGTACAAAAAGCTTTCATGGAGATTTGCCAAGCTTACTGTGGGATCAAGAATGTAAACTTGAGACAGCTCTGCTGATAACCAGTAATTCCTGTAGTCTAAGGTGATGTTCACATCACCTCCTGCCTGGAAAAATTTCAAGCTTCCATGGGCAATGACAACACACAACTGCAAAGAGCCACCAGGTGCAGCTGCCAAATCTTGAATCCCATAGCTTCTTGTAAGTGCATGCCAGCTCCCCTCATTCACTTTATTTCCTTCATCCCGAGTGTTTATAAGGCATACTAGTAAATGCTAGTTGACACTTCCAAGCCTTGAAGGGTGGTCTGGAGAAAGACCAATCCTGGTTCAATGCCTGTGTGTGTTAGCAGAGAATGCTTTCTTGCAGACAGATAAAAAATCAGAGCTCTATTTGAAGAACCACCTGTTTCCTAAGTTTGGGAATTTCTTTAGTTATTACTTTTGTTGCATTTTATAAATAATCCAGAAAATCTTCAGCATCAGTGAAGCTAAAAGCATGTTCATTTTTAACAGCAACATAAATATTAATCACAATCACCAGTCAAGATTGAGGATTTTATTTGGCATAACATGTACAACCATGCAACAATTATGTAAAAATGGAAGTTATTATGAGCTGTAATTAATATACTGTGTTACCAGCTGACTCAAAGCACTTTGCTCAGCATCCTTGGTTTTAAAGACTGCATCTGAGTAGTGGTAAAATGTATACTAAATTCAGTAAAGCACATCAACAGCCCCAGGCTTTCTCCTCTAGTGGTGACTACCACTGAATTTTATTTCTGCTGAAATCTTGCTATGAAAAAAAAAAAGCAGTATAATTGCTGATTTACCACCACTGCTTAATCTAATTCAGTTCTTAGTGGTCCATTAGCATAACAGAATTCATTTTATTTCACAGAAAATGTTATGA